CACAGAGTTTTTTTCATACTTTGAAACGTAAATATTTGGAATTTTCTGACTTAGCCCCAAAAGCTGGATTCACAGGATACTCAAGAGCAACTAACCACAGCACTGCAAAAAATGAGAAATCGGGTTTTGCCTTCTTTCCTCTCAAAAGTCTTTTTCTTTAGCCTATTCTTTTCCTTTTGGAATTGCTGTAAAATTCCAACACACTGAAACACCTTCGTTATCAAGATTGTTTACGCAGGGTCTGTTAAGGTCATGAGACGGAGCTGCCTGTTGCCCTAACTCTCTGAGGTGGACATTAGGGGGGCATGGTAATTCAGTTACAAATAATTAGGTAACTGTGATACAATTCCTGCAACTGGATTTATTCCCTTTTCTCGAGACAAGGTCTTGAAATAATGAAAGATGAAGAAGTCGGGGTGGTTACACCTAATGTAGAAGTACCTTCACTTGACTGCCCTAAGAGTTGAGTTCATGCAGCTTGGTACTTGTTGCAGCTATAACAAGAGCTGGTTTATTTTTTCTTTTTGCAAAACGTATTTTCCTGGTTCTCCTTCTGTTGAAGTGATCCTGGAACCAACTACCTCTGTGTCACAGCATGCTGACACTGTGTTGAGTCAAATGCAACTTTCAGAGCCAAAACGATGCAAAAGCCTCCTGAATCACGCCAGTGGACTAATTTCCCCTGTTCTAATAAAAATTAAATTAATGAATTAAAAATGCCTTGGCATTTCCCTAGAGCTGCATGGCATTATGCCCTTCAGGTTTTACCACAGGACACGGCAGAAGCCTGTACACTGATTTGCTGGGCAGGGAAAACAAAGGCAGAATTAGCATTTGTTCTCTTTGATAAAACCAGAATTTGACAAGAATAAGTTATAATCTCAAACCTTACCGACTTAAAAACCCTGGGGTCACTTCAACAAACACTTTCTTGCTCTCAGTACTCCTTTTAGCCCAGCTATTAACTCTTCTGAGGCAACAGGGTTCGGAGAGCTCCCATCCCTCCTGGGATCAGGTTCCAGCAGTGACACCGGTGACTCTCCCATTACTGGGGTAACCAGCAGTGGCCCTGCAAAGTCACACACCGGCTCTGGAAGCAGCTGCTCCCAAAGTCCCTCTGGCAAAGGTCAGGAAACCTGCCAGGGCTCCGAGGTTCAACCGAAACCCCCCAGGGACAGGGTTACTGAGATTGCAATATCACTCTAATCAGTAAAATAGAAGCTTCTTCTCATCAACAGTTAATCACACAACTTCACTTGCCTCTAAGTTCCTTCAGTTGCCTTGACAGATGAGAGCACAATAATATAAATAAGAAATGACAATTTGCCAAAGAAGGTTAACATAAGGTCACGACCTTTTTTCTAGTTGACTTCTGCGGCTTATTCATGTGTGAAAACACGCTTTTGTAGCTGTAACCTCAGCGTCCCTTACAGATCTGGACCTGTGCCAACAACTGAGCTTTAAAATTACCATTTAAAATGGTATTTATGCTCAGAAAATACCAGTTCTGCCTTTTGCGATGCTTGAGTAGAACTCCTTCGCATCGGAATAAAATATTAAATGTCTATACATTTCACAGCACATCTCACTGCCAGGGGTTGTCAGTGGTACCTCTGCTCAGCAAACAAGGAGGTATTGCACGCACATATATTTCCACTGCCTTCCTCAGACCACATTACAGACCCGTTTCTGAGCAAATCCACCCACAGACCCTGACCAGAAACGTCCCTGAAACACCACACACCAGCACAGATCCACAGGGCACGGCGTCAGGCCAACAGTCATACACTGGTAAATGTCAAATCCTAATTTGTCATATTATTTGTGCAGTGATTTAAATCCAAATCCCTTCTCATCACTCATTTCCATCAGACACATGAAGAGCGGGAGGGAAGCAGGAGCTTTCTGTCACAATCTGTAATGCCTGTGCCAGTAACTGCCAGAAAATATTTCTCTGTCAGGGAAGCAAACTGAAGTTCTGAGCATGAGGGCTGGAGAGTGAAAGCTGCAGTACAACATGGGGATAATTAGTTTTGAAAGGCTAATCAGGTCACAGCTCTGGCTGGCATTTCTCTAGAGATGCACGTGCCTCCACCTCACCACAACTTGCCTCTCGGTGCAAGTATCCCTCATTGAAGTAAGACTTTACATACCACACAACTCTGAATGATATATCCTGCCACAAGAGCCCCCAGTTATTTAGGAAATACCCCTCAGCAGGAGCATGGACCCCAAAGTGTGGGGTGTCCCAGGCTGTGGGGCTCAATCCCCCTCCCCACGTGGTTCCAATCACCTGAGGAAGGGAAGGTTTAGTCCAAGCTGAGAGCAATAACTATTTTAAGGTTATCTCACCTATTATAATCTGTTGTCTTGTGCATATTCATGGAGCCTTGTGTCTTGCACACACCTCTGACACACTAAAAGCTGGAGATGCTGAGCATCCTCAGCTCATTCTAGCTGTGAAATCAGGCTTTTGAGTCTCCAAAAAAAACTGTTCACAACCCACCCCCCCGGCAATGATTGATCAAACCAGCAGTACACCTCTTTATATTGTTGGATTCCCTTCCTTAGCATTAAACAGCTATAAATGGCTAAAAAATATTTTAAAAAACCCCAACAGTTATTTCCTGACAACACCTTTCCCTTTTGTCAGAAGGATGCTCTGTTTTGTTTCCGAAAAAACACAATCAATCTTTCCACTAATCACAACTCGCTGAATAAAATCTGTGCTACTTCCATGCTGCTTTTCTTACAATGCACCTCATTTGTACCTTGGTTTATAAAAAACCCTGTACACCAATCGATCATTTCAGTCACCGGTGAAATAAAGCCGACCATGAGACGAGTAATGGGAGCAGAACAATAGTGCACATCTATTTAACACCGGAGTGTAGACTGAGGGGCAACGCAAAGCACAACAATGCTGTAAAGGCAGAAAGAATGGAACAACCCAGAGCGACAATAAGCCCTTATTCCTCCAAAAACTCTGGTTAAACTGAACGGGAAGCTGTTTCACTCCCATCTGCAAAATGACTCCACTGAGCAACGCAGAGGCATCGATAAAACACCAATTCAGGGGCACGTCCTGAAAGACCTTCCAGCAGCACAGGCAGTTTGGTCTGGAAGCTCAATAGGCAGTTCGGTCTGGAAGCTCACTTTCCCCTCATGTCGTAATCAACCACTAAGTTACTCACACTGTAACATCTGATGGCCAGAAGTTGGCCAAAGCTGGCCTTTTTGCAGGTCAGTACAGTCACGTGCTCCTTGTATTAACACCTCTGCAAAAGGTCAGGTGTATTTAGTGTCACCACTACGTTCACTTTGTTCTATGACTTGAGCCTTCCCAGTTTGTGTGTTTCCATTTTAGCCTAAACATTTCAAAAATGGCTTCGAAACAGCTAATAATATATTCTCCTGCAATTTTTGGTCGGATAAAATATAGCACAAGAATCAAGTATCTTAAGCTCTGTTTGAGTTTTTAAAGAATGTCAAAATGCTAGAATTTAAAGTTTATTTTAAGAATAGATGAATTGTGCAGAAGGAACGTTAATTTAACTATTTTAAAGAAAAAAGGACTCATGTAGGCCAAGAAAATTAGGATTTCAAGGAGTAGGACCCCTGCTTTCAAAAACTTGGGGTTTGGACAACTTTTATGCAGACTTGAAAGCAGTAACTAGTCACCAAAATACAGACCTGTCCACTGGTTCATGGGAATATTACTATTCAGTCCCCAAAAGAGGTAGGAGCAGTCTGAGGTGAAGTAGCAGGAATCTGTGAATGGGGCATGGTATTCCGGGGCTGAGGTCTCATAACAAAATGCTTCAATCAAAATAAAATAATCATCTACAGCTTGTTTACACTCTCAAGGTGGATCTCAAGCGATAGGTTGCCGTAGAAAATAGTTCTATCATCTTTTAGTGAAAAAAGGAGTGCATCCAAATCGATTATAAAGTTAGGGTAAGGCACATGACAAGCAAGAAATACAGTGCTTTGTACAAATCTTGAAAAGGAGCTGGACAATGGTAAAAGGAAACGCTGGGAGAAAGGAATTTTTCTGGCACTGTGTAACAGGAAAAGCCAGAGAAGACAGTTTCTTGTGAAAAGATGATAATAACAATTCATGAAAACCTACCCTGAGATAATAAAAAACACACCAATGCTGCATGAAATGCAGTGGAGGGCAGAATCCAGGCACACAGCAGAGCTCTCAAGATCATATGGCAGCACACACTCATTACCTGTGTCAGGGGAGAGCTCAGGAGGAAGGAACTGCTCTGGCCTGCAATCCATTACACCCTGGGTACCTCACACCTGACCTCCTCTGCCTTTTGCAGCATCTGATGATGCACAGAATGTGGTGACTGTAGGTCAACAACATCAGCTGGGCTTGTTTACACCCTCTCTGTTTACCAGTCAGAAGTCTGACCATAATTCAATATGTGTTCTAACACAAGCTTCTGTGATGTTTTCCTTCTGCATAACGTCAAGCTTTTGCATAAGAACGAATTTTACCCTATAATGCACTAACTAGAATTATATTTCCCTTAGGAAAAAGACAAATGGGTTTACATAGCATATGGTTTTAAATCCTTTTTTATTCCGTTAATCTCTAGCTGTGGAATTGTGATTGAAATGTGAAATGTATGTGCATTTTCTGATAAGAACCATTTTGCTTTAGAGGCAGATGAAATATTATCAAACGTATACACTTCCCTCAAGTTTTTAAATTGATGGTGGAAATCCCATAATCAGAACATGGCACGGCCAATCCAGGTTAAGTGATAACATTTTTTTCAACAAAATAAAACAACCCCCCCCACCACCCTTTGAAGTGTTCTTACAGTTACATCTTCATAATCCAGGCATGAGAAGATCCGCACTCTCGACAACTCGGAGCACACCCTCCTTGGCTGGCACCACATAAAAGCCAGTGTTTCCTTCTCCTTTCCAGTGTCTCCTCTGATTCCTTAACAGCAGGGAGACACAGCACAAAAAATTACCTCCACACGATTTTCCATCTTCCCCCAGTTTCTGGCCAGCTGGACACTTGCAGTGGTAGCTGCCGACGGTGTTGCAGCACTGGTCCTGACAGCCCCCGTTCTCCACGGTGCACTCGTTGACATCTGCCAGAAGAAAGGACACAGCAGTCAGTAAGGAGTGGGCACTGACTATTTTTCCTGGGGATTTGAGGACAGTTGTGTATAATTCCAAAGTGACAAAATGAGACAGTTACTGGGATGTACAGATCAGGAGTGAAGCAACCCCAGGAGCAGCGGCTCCCGGAAAATGTTGCTGAGCCCCACCCTGCCCCAGATCAACCAAGTTGCACCAGGGGAAGTTTGGATTGGATATTAGGAAACATCTGTTCATGGAAAGAGTTGTCAAGCTCTCAGGATGCCCAGCGAAGTAGTGGAGTCATCATCCCTGTAGGGATTTAAGAGACAAGTATCACAGAATCCTTACAATTAGAAAACACCTCCAAGATCATCAGTCCCAACCATTAGTAGATGGGGTACTTGGAGACACATTTCAGTGATGGGCTTGGCAGTGCTGGGGGAATGGTTGGACTTGATGGTCTTAATGGGTTTTTTAACCTAAACAATTCTAAGAGTTGCAAGGGTGGGATTTTCCTCCCCCTCTTCTGCGCAGGCTGAGTGCAGAGTCCACCCAGCTCTGGCTGCAGATTCTACCCAACTCGCCAAATTCCACCTCTGTGCTGCAACATCAGCAACAACCTTTATACAGTCACTTCCAGCAGCCTCACTTGTGTATTACATTGCTTCCAGCAGTTGTGTCAGAGATGAGAAACCTCTGAAAGAGTGTAGTCTTTTAAATCAATTAAGCTTTCTGTCTAACCTGCTTTCTGTCAGGCACTGGTATCTATACACCTTATTCACTTGATAAGTTACTGTTTGCCTGCATGCAAAATAGAACCTTACCCATTATAAATGAAGAACATTAAAGAACAGCATGGAAAAAAAGAAATCAGTAAATAAGCAGCCTGTGGCAGAGAAAAATCAATAGCAAAGACATATGCTTTTTAACCCTGTACTTATGTACCCTATATATGGAATTCCAAAGAAATCATCGGGCCCAGGATGAGGTTGAAGGTGCCAGATCTCTCATCCACAAGGCCTTTGGCACTGTTTGGGATCACACATTGCATTTGGGCTAGAGAGAATGAAAATCAGGAGGAGGAAGATTAAGCAAGAGAAGATAAGCATCACCATGACTGTAAAAACCACAGGCAGTTACTTCATATTAGCAGCACTCCACGTTCCCAATGGGGAAATGAGGCTTTAAAAAAAACCCCATTTAATTAGTTTGCGAAGACAAATCAAAAAAAAAAAAGAATTTCACATTCATGCAGGAGAGGTGAAAGCCTTTCAGCTGCAAACCTTCGATGTTAAAGACTAAGATTTACCAAGGTTTGTTAGTTCTTTGATGAGCTCGAGCTTCACTTTACTGGCTCGTTTCTGATCCTGGCTAAAAGCCACAGGCTAAAAGAAATTCTTGAGGAGGTTTCAGACTATCAAAAAGCTTAAAGAAAAGTGTGTGGTGAGACACAAATATTTGTGAAAGTGCAGCTGAAGGGGCACAAACTCACTTCAAACCATCTCTATTCTCTCCGGCTCCAGAACCTGTGCAATGACCAACACAACGAAAACTTCTTTGTTCTCAGTGATGCCGAAAAACACAGACAGGCCACATAGAAAACAAAGTAAAACTCACTTACAATTCACTTATCTCAGAGCTACACAACAAACCCAGCCCTAACTCGCGTGAAGTCAACAAGGCTCTTCTCCGTTTCACGGGGACGCAAATTAGACGGAAACTTTTCCGAAAGCAGAAAAACACTCCCCCCTCCCCTCCCCACTCCACTCCCCTCCCCTCCGAAATGCAAAAAACACAAACGGTACCAAAATAAGACACGCGTCTGTTCGCTTCTCCTCGGCAAGAGACGGGGAGAACATATGACAAGCGACAGATTTTGGACTTGTTCCTCAAAGCACTGGAAGGAGGCAGGATGCTCCCAGCACCGCGCAGGAGAGCGACAAACAGGCACGTTCCGAGTGATTTACTCCCCCTCCTCCCCCCCAACCCTCACTCGCAGACATCTTGATGTGCCTCGTGGTAATAAACAGTAATGAGCCACATAATAACCCTGCTCCACAGCTTCGACTTCTATTTATACCAACAGTATTGAAAACTAATAAAGTCTCTTGCTCTTTTTATATATTTTTTTTTTTTTTTTGAAACAAAATAAAGGGAAGAGCTGCTTTGTTCTTCCATGCCACGTTGAGCACCCACAAACCAGCCTGGTCTCCCGGCATAAAATATTGACTGAATGAGGTGGCCTACGGTATACAGCCCAATTTATTAACACCAGTGTCTATATCTTGAACCAAAATATTGGAAGGAAACCTTTCTAGCTGAGGAGCTAATCATTATCCTCTTGATTTCACTAGGCTATAATCCATTTGGAAGTGCATAGTGCTGTTGCATACTAATATATAGAATGTTTCTCCTTTGATTGCAGGTCTATTAGCAATCAGACATATTTTCCTTTCTTGTTCACCATGAAATGCCCTGGTCTAGCTATGAAAGTATTGGTGCTGTATGACTGAGAACTCATTTTCTGCTTCTTCCAAGTCTATCTTCTTAATGATCCATCCAGGATTTCCTTGTCTCTGTCTTAATGCTTGTCTTCTTCCTCTGATGAAATGTTTTTATCCATTTCTTTACTGGTATTTTTTTTACACCAGACACCCATTGTTTTTTCTATTTTACACACAAAACCTGATTTTTCATCCTCATGTCTCTTTAAAACAAATACCTTCTTTAAAGCTGATCATCGTAAAATAAAGTATATTTTAATTTCTGAGTTAAGACACCAAAATAAGCTTTTTGATAAAGCTTTATCCCTATTCCAGAGCACTCATATTTGAAGGAACACACTCAATAGGTATAAATTACCCTAGTTAATTGTTAGATTCCATGAAAATTCGCTCTCTAAGCATCCACACCCTTCACTGTTGTGTCTCCTGTACAAGACCTTCTCCATTGTCTGCACCCTGCCAAGCTGTTTTCTGCAACTCCATAATAAAAGGTCAGATGTTGCCTCAGTCCAAGAAGCACAGAAATAAATGATCTGAATGTGAAGTAATAAAGAATGTGTTTTACATTTGTAAGAGGATGGTTCATGCAGCTCTTACAAGCCACAGTCAGCTGTTCCATATTCCTTAAACAGAGTAAGTCAGGATTTTAAAATCTGATTACAGCTTTGCCACTGGGGAAAAAAAAAAACAAAACAAAAAAACCAAAACAACAACCACAAACCAAAAAACAAACACCAAAAAATAAACCCAACAAAACCAATTCTGTCAAATGATAAATAATTTCTGTCTGCTTTCCATATTCAATGTCACTCAAGGTTGCAAATATATTTTGTCTTCTGGATAGTGAGAAAAATGACAGGAAATTTCTGACATGTAACAAGTCTGCCATGTTAGGTCTGACAAAAGTTCAATGTTATCAAGCCTATCAATCCATCTGCAATGACACGCTGTAGGCACTTCAAAACAAGAAATAAATCTGATGTTTGCTACTGCAGCGTTTCCCATTTATTTACAGAGCCAGTGTTGCAACACAAAAACATTATCCATGGGACACACTGGATGTGAGCCTTCAATCCTGCCCTGGGAAGCGAGAGGGAAAAATAACTGAAAACACCTTTCATCTGGATTAACTTGATAATAATTTTATTAATGATCTGTCTACAAACTGTAGGGGAAAAGTCTACAATATATTTTAAATCCACTAGTATGTTAAAATGTGGATTGTTGACATGTGTCCATGTCCCACACTCCCTGCACAAGTGGTATTATAGAGTGGCCCTCCTAAAAGATGTCCTTGCTCCAAAAATCTCATAAAATACTTGATATGTAAGGTAAAATGCCTCTTTTTTTTCATGAAATGGACCATCTTTGCCCAATTAACCATGCCTAGGAGCTACATGCCACATGGAGAAGGACTGATCCCAACCCCTTACTTCTCCATTCTTGTTTAATGCTTCTCACTCCCTGTCTGAAAATATCACACATCCTCAGCCCTGGGAAGGGAAAACAACCCTTCACCAAGTCTTTTATGAAAACCTAGATGATTTCAGATTTCCCACAAATAAATGAAAACTTTACATAAAAGCAGACAGTGGACAAAGTGTTTTTCACTGGTAATTCCAATCTGAAAGCTAGCAGCAGTGACCTGCACTGCCACTAGCTCTCAGACGTAGAAAGCAGATGAACAAAACAATCAGTCTAAAAAGCAGAAATATATATTGGCATTGGGGCAGAAGTGTCCTCTGCACTGAGCCATAGGTGAGGGCTGCAGCTCTGCAGGGTCTCCACGTGCAGCTGAATTTAGCATCTTTAAAAACCAGCAGGGGTTTAAGCCTGCTCTGACCAGAGGACTGGCCAGACCTGGGGAAGGGGAAAGCAGGAGCTCAAAATCTGCAGCACAAAACCCATGGAGTGAAACAACACACACAATTTTGGCAACGGTTTGTATGTTTAGATCTGTGGAACACACATGTTAACCCCCCGCCTAGAAGTTAAAGTGTTCCTACTTCACCTGTGCAACAACTTTATGCAATATGCATTAACATAAAGACTATTTTTTAAGGCAGCTAAAGGAATCTCAGAGCTGCAGCCCGGCATTTTAAACCCATTTTCCACAGTTTCTATATTTATGGGCTGCATATGAGCAACAACTTTATTTATTTAGCACAACCACAGGCAAACTTGCCTTTTTGGTGCCCACGCTCTGACCCATGAGCCACCAACTCCAGAGCTCCCTGGACTTGTAATAAATCACTGGAGTGGAATAAAATCTGTGGAATCATCCACATTGTTATGGCAATCCCACATGAACAAAGCCCACCAGCGTGGAGAGGGAAGGTGATTTTGATTAGTTTAAAAGCATTAGGCTAAAACACCGAGCTTCAATTAGGGGTCAAAGTAACCAGAACTCATTATTTAGTGGGAAGACAGCATTTCACTAATAACAGTAATAACACTTAGGACTTTCTTCTGAAGACTGTGATGAAGGTGGTCTGATTTCAGGA